CCCCAAAACCCCAAAACCCCAAAACCCCAAAACCCCTAAATTTTTAAACAGAATTGAAGACATAATAAGATATTTAGGACTCTTTGTTGTAAACGTGCTGAGCAGTAGCCAAGGTGATAGAAAATAGACCTGTGTAGATAGAATTCAACACTTCGTAGCTACAGGTTACACCAAGTAATTGTAGCGAAGAATGCTCGACATCGTGGTCTAAGATCTCGATATTATGGTCGATAACATTGATTCATTCCTCAATTCTTTCGTTTCGTTGTTCTTCAGATAAGCTTAGCTCCTTAAATTTTATCACGATTGCTTTCAGCGTATCTGAGTTAAAGTGAGTCCGGTCTTTGAGGATCCGGTAGTTTGACATAAAATTCAACAGGCTAGATTTTATTGCAAGCATCCTTTGTTTGTGGATTGGGAAATATGAGTTTACCTCTGCACCTATTTTAACCATTTTAATCATTATTCCACATATCAAAATAACATCATAGTATCCCAAGATAAAGACAGGGGTGGGAATTTTGTAGGTAAGGATATCCCAGAAAATTAAGGTGAAGAACAAGGCAATGAACCCATAGAGTCCTATGAATATCGATGAGTACAAGAACACTCTATATGTGTACTTCAGTCCTAAGTCAAGAGAGAGCTTCTTTAATGACATCCATCTTCTAAGATTATTTGGATCTGTAATATCTAAGACTGGAATTTTCTTGTGAATAATATTCTCTCGAATCTTCCTTTCAGGGTCGATTAATACTCACAGCGCTTTTTGGAAGAAGAGCTTTCTTCTGAAGTCAACCACTCCGAACACGATGAATTTCAAGTTTACTTGGTGAACTGTAACATTAAGCGCAACTAGAGAGATAAGCATATGAAGATCAGCTGGAGTAAATTCAAGTATTTCCTTATAATTTAGTGCGATATTCGCTAAATAAATGATCACTCTACCAATAACGATGTAAAGGGCAATCTTAGTACTGCCGATGACGAATTTATTGAGAATCGCCATTTCCTTAATGATCTCTTCACCATGATACTCCTGAGATCAAGCTAAGGGGTTTTCTAGGTCATCTTTTCAATCCTCTGCTGGGTCTAAAAGTTCTTGGTCAGTAGCAGTTGTCTTGACTTTGGTCCCCATCCTTTCCAGAGAGTTCAATTTAAAAGCCTGTTTTGGCCTTCCTGCATTTAAAGTTATTGAAGGAACTTCAAATTGATCCTTTTTCTCTTCTTCTGCAGACGAATTCACCATCTTTGGGGTTACTTTAATTTTGTCCTTCTTTTCTGATGCTTTCATTTCTTCTATTACATCCGAGATATCCATATTTTTTTCTTTGTAAAAATTCTTATTTGACAACCTCTGGTGAAGATCATTACTGATAGGTTTGAGAAACCTAAACTTGAAGTCTTCTTCCTCGTATTTTATTCTGTACCTTGAAGCAGATATTTCATGGGCGAGAGATTTGAAGTTCAGCTTATCCCATGAGAAGAGGACCAGGTCTTGTTTTATCCAGTCAAAAGTTTGCTTAGCTTTTAGTATTTTATACCTTGTCTCTGACATGTAAGCATATCTGATCGAAATAATCATTCATCTTGTGAGAATGGTCACGATCGGGAAGAACATGTCAGGTAAGGTGAAATGTTTTGAAGGAAATAAAAAGAATATGCACAGCAGTAATACAAACGTTACTGATTGTATCTGCTGTAAGATTGAGAGTAAGTTCTTTCAGCCAACAAACAATAAATTTGATGAGTACTGGTACCCTTCTAATAATGCAACTATTAGTCCTCCAAAGTATCCTGATCAGAAAAATAGGATATGATACAGTAATAACTTTATAAAGATTTTGATTTTGAAATCGACATCATATTCAGAGATATTAATGACTTTTTGCGCAAGTCGCAATCCAATTTTGTGTATAGCAGTTTGAACATTTCCATTCCTACCGATGACTATAAAGCTTACCTAGTATTTTCAAAAGTTGGGGAGTCGAACTTTACATCAGATTTTCTCTCTGCTACATTCATTCTGGAACTGTCAATCCCATGGTCCTCATCTTCTTTATTAGACTCTGGCCATTTGTCTATGCCTAGGATTAAAATTACTTTCTTACTTACTTTTGGAGCTATTTAGCAAATGAGGTCCTGCTACTATGACATTATCTGTGGTTGTCTTTATGGCTGGTTTTCTGGTTCTATATAGCTAGATTAAACTCAGTTTAACTCTAAGTTATGTCCAAGGCAAGCTATAGGCTTTGGATAGAACCCTACCTTGGTTTGTTGTAATAATTTGAATTCGAACTGTAAGCGTTGTCAAAACTTGCTTGACTCTCCATTTTATTATAAATCAATAATAAATTGTGGCTAAGGGGTTTTGGGGTTTTGGGGTTTTGGGG